GGGGATCAAGCCCGCAGCCTGGGCATGTGCCCTGACCGGGAATCAAACCTCAGTGATCTCCTGGATCCTAGGTCGATGCTCAACTGCTGAGCCATGGCCGGCCGGGCTGTGGTTCTTTCTATTTGGTTTTATGAAAAGTCAAGGAGTAAAAGGTCTCTGGTGAATTCTACTTTTTGAGTTGGATTACCAGATGTTATTGAAGATCAAAAGTTCTCTAAAGGAAAAGCCTCATTTCTTAGAAATCCTTACTTATTTGTTTTCTGCTTTTGTGAGATTACAAAATAAACCAACCAACCTCAAGGCTCTTACCTGCACTGGCTTGGTGAAAGTCGGCTTCCTCCCCTGCCCCATCAATAGCGTTGCTATTTTCCTCAGGCCTCTCATTAGTCATGGTTCTGCGGATACTCTGGTATCTAAAATCAGGAGCTTAGAGTCATATCACAGCAGCCTCTAAAATCTGGGACTCAGCTGCTTCCCCAGAGCCCGGAAGAGTTCACTATCTCCCCAGCCTCAGCCATTTCCTCCCCAAACCCCCATTCCCTGACCTTCTAGGCCATCTGCTGTTTAAGTAAATTACATTGCATTGAATTTCTTCTGTCCGTTGTTGGTGGACATTTTCCTAACAAATTAATGAAAAATTTTTTAATTGTGGCCCTTAACAGAAGAAAACTAAATCCCTCCATTGTTAAAGAAAATAACAACTTTTTATTCTGTAGCAGTTAGTACTTGAAAAAGGACAGATTTAAAAAGCTTAGGTGGACAATAAAGACTCTTCATCATGAATGAAGAGTCTAGATATTTAAAAATAAATATAGCTTACTAAAAACCAGTGCCTTGGATTGACTAGCGGGGTTAGCATTATTTATTTCCTCTCCAGTTTCCAAACTAGCTGTTTGTGTGTGTGTGCTTACTATTTTTTTTAACCAAGAGAAGTTCAATGAAACCTATGAATCAAAAGACGGAACAGCTACACCTTAATGACAGGACACACAAAGATGAAAGAGACATAACTGGGTTTTCTACTTTGAACCATGTAAAAATTAGCCCAACCACAAAACAGAACAGTGACGGCAAAAAGTCCCACCCTCACCTGCGGTTCAGCTGCTCCATCTGCTGAATGGAGTTGGACCTCTGCAGCACCTGCGGGGCGGGGGGAGCTGTGGGCCGCTGCCACGTCGTGGTTCTGTTCACGTGGTCCACGTAGAAGATCCTGCCGTGGCTGTCTATGCGCGCCTCCCAGTCTAAAGAGTAGTAACACATCCAAGGGATTAAGAGGAGGAGCTGAGGCCATTAATGTGGTTCATTAACTTCCAGCACATGTTTTCCTCTCTGACATGCTATAATTTGGGGCTAATAACGTAGACCTCACTGCATAATCTGCCGCTTCCCCTTAGTCTGTACCAGAATCTGTTGTGACCAGTTAGTAAACATATCCTCTGTGCATAATGCCAACCCTTTAAAGAATCTCTGAAAGTAGAGAATCCTTCCAGACCTGCCCATAATGAACATCTTTCCCATATGAGCACCAGTCATTTAAAAATACAAGTCATGGTTATCATAATGCTTTAGATATTCACATCAAAATTGGTACTGATGCTTGTTTTCACAAAAACATGACTTTTCCCCCAGTTTTTCCCCAGCTTATATGAAAAACTCATAGCTGGAAATTTCCATGTGCATATTTACATACAATTGTAGTAAATATAGTCTTCAGATTAAAATATTGGAAGCCTGACCATCAAACAGCATCCTTATCTACACACTTCCATTCGCACTTCCCCAAAGATTAATACATTTTCAGAGCAAGGGTAATTACTTGCCTACAAACTCAAATCAATACAATGTCTTAAAAGATTACTTAATTTTATGTTTAAGCAATCTCATTGATTAAGTGTGTCAGTCTTTGTAAACAAATATATAAGTGCATGTTCAGTAAAAACAGCTAGCAGACTGCTCCTCAGAGCCAAACGTCCCATCTCTGTGACTCTATAAAAGGCTATTCCCCTATTAAAATACACAGAGCATGAGCTAATGTTTTCAAAAGGCAAAATTTTAAAACTGATCACAGTTGGGAAGAGTAATTTAACAGGAATATGTGAAAATAGCAGAGACCTATTCTTTAACCAGGAAAGTTGTTATACATTTCTATTTCTATATAAATTACTTCTGGAAATTAATAAGCCCCTTTCTCCTAAGCAGCTTGGTTATTTCAAAACTCTCCATGTGATCACATAGCTTATCAACAGACACCACAGGGCTAACCCTGGAGACCAGGAGGAAGGCGTGTTTGCTCCTGACCACTTGTGGCATCGCTCTGGAGGGGAACGGAGCAAGTATTCCAACAAAGTCCCTAGTGTTGGAGAGATTGCATGCTAGACCCCAGCCAGCACCACACNCAGACTGCATGCTAGACCCCAGCCAGCACCACACAATCATCGAGGGCTGCCTCAGTGGGGAGCGAGAGGTCTTTTTTTCCTTGATCTCAGCACATTGTAATTTATGACAAATGGCAAAAGAAAAACTGGGCTGAGGAAAAGCACCCCGCAGACAAAAACAACAACTCAGCGTCACTCACACTCCGAGGTAACAGGCTCACAGTGAGCCGGCCTGCCAGATCTGAGTTCTTTGGGCACAGCTACAATCCTGTCAATAGGACATTTCCAAAAGATCTCATGCTCAATCTGCCATATGCTGAGAAATAGTAACCACAGTATAGCGTTTTCAGGAACCATTTTCCAAAATCCTTGTATCTGTTCCATTGTTTTACTCCCTTCCTTGCATACTTTCCCATCTCAAAGATTCCGAGGACGAATTATTCCCATTTCAGTCCTTTCTCAGTAGAGCCAGGATAATTCAAGCATACACTATGCATCAAATCAAATGTACATGAAAACAAATGGCCATTCCTTCCCCAAGAATGTTTATAGTAGTTTCCAATTAAAAAAAAAAAAAAAAAGTAGAATAGGTCAATTAGGAATAAAAACAGAACAGAAACCAACTTAAAGGAAGCAGAAAGAGAGATGCTGCCAGACTCCCGAGATAAGCCTGTAACTATAATTTGGCTAAATTTTCTGGCAGCTAAAGGAAAAAGAAAAACACATTGTTGCATACTTTCCATTTTCTGACAAAAGAAAGTAAAAAAAATTATCTTCAAAGGTAGAACGTCCTTGTTTTCTTCTTTTAACACTCAAGGAGGTATGATTATGTTCGTATGAAGTGCAAAAGTAAGTAGAACTGATCTATGATTTTGAAATCTTTCAGGAGTGGGGGTTAGTGACCGGCAGGGGCACTAAAGGACATGCCGGTGCCAGTGGTCGGTGCTGGCTGCACGGGTGCACTCAGTTTGGGGGTTCAGCAGGCTGAGTGTGATCTTTTCTGCATATATATTTGAATAAAAAGTTTTAAAAGATCTCAAATAACTGTATATTTTATACCTTAATCTTCAATTTTGAAGAAAGTAGTTTTTTAAAGGTATCAATTTTTCCCTCAAAACTAACTTTTAAACTGTAGAAAACAAGAGCCCTTAGCCTTAAACCTAGTAGGAACTCTAAGATTAATTATATTTTTCAGATTCACTGCCTACTTTCAGGCATTCATTTCAAAGAATGACTTAAAAATGAAAGTGCACAACCACAAAAAATGATAAAAATGTTCCCTTGTATTTTTCCAGAATTACCCATTTAAACCCATAAGTAATACACTTGTCTTAACAGTATGCTAACAGTCCTGTGATCCTATAAGAGTCCACTAATCCAGGCTGTTCATCCTGAATCTATTCCTATCCTTTTGAGAGGAAAAAACATTTATTTGACAATATGTTAAGTCACAATTACACTGGAGCCATTAAGAGAAAAATAAAAGTGGAACTGAGCTGGCCATTCGTTTTTCACTTATCTTAATGCTACAAAGACCAAGATCTGTCACGCTGATGAACTCTAGGGGACTTCAGCCTGAACTGACTCCAGCTGCCAGTGCCATCAATCACCTCACAGTGAGACACAGCAAATCCTTAAGGGACACAGTGCATGTCAGAGTTTAGGCTGCTTCCCTAGAAGAAGTTCGGCTGTGCCACGCTGCTCTCAAGATCTGGGATTTTCTTACTTTCTGTGGATCATGAGAATGTCTCTCCACAAGTGGTTAAAGTTACGCAGCCCACAAGGTCACCGCACAAGGTCGGTGGCCTAAAGCGGGAGTAAGATTTTGAGAAGGAATGGGTAGATCATCATTGCAGCTCAACAGTCTTCGTACTAAGTCCGAGGTCTGTTGCCTGATCCTGACATAGGAGGAAGAAGACTGGAAGCAGCAGTGTAGAAACAGGGGAAACTGCTTTACAGAAAAGAAGATGGAATGGGTGTGAGAGACGAAGCCATAACGCTGCTGTGTAGACGGCCACGTGATCAGGTGTAAGTGCAAAACCGCACGGCAAGGGACCCCACTGTACTGAATTGCAAATCTTCAGAGAGAAGCACAAGTTTGCTGGGGTTTTCTCACTATATGTTAGTACCCAAGTATTTTATAAGGTGAAAATAAGCTAAAAGAGCAACAATAAGAAGAAGAATCCGCCATGGAGGGCATCAAAGCCCAAGGCACGAGGATTCAGGAGCCTGTCTGGTGGGTCTGGGGACAGCGGCCCGCCCAGAGAGGAAAAGGCACTTCAGAGTCTACATGGTGCTTAACAGAGCAACCTGCCTGGGCCACGAGGCAGTGGCTCATGCTCTCACTGGGACCACTTCTCTTACACTTGAGGGGCCCCCTGGGGGGTCCTGCTGAGGAAACTTAATCCTTAAGAAGAAGAAAGTACTTCTTGAGCCTCCTGAGTCTGACCTCAAAACACCACAGTATAATAAAGTTTCAGCGAAACACACCCTCTGATTTGAGGTGTTGCTACACCTAATAGACAACATTCCACAATATAAGCCACCACTGCCATTAACCAAACTCGCAGAGTTCACATCTGTCTACCCCCACAACAGTCCCTTCCCTTCTAATCTCAGATCAGCAGACCCGATAGAGGAGCGGGAATGGTTGAGACTCTGTCTCAACTTTTACTAGTACGGGATCCTAAACAAGTTACTAATTGATCTGGGCTCCTGTTTCCCCATCTATAAAATGTCAGAATCAGGTTAGCTGATTTAAAGCCAGCGGTTTATAAATGATAGATAAGATCTGCTTGACCTACCTCATGAAACTGTTACAAAGAATTTGAAGAAAAAAAAGAAAAGCATGTAAAAGTGCATCGTGAACTGTAAAGCACTACACAAGTTTGGGGTGTTATAATTAATAGTGTTAGAAGTATAACTATTAGCCTTAAAATAATTCTGCCAGGTCATTTAAGAGATGCACCCATCTGCACACTCCAAACAGACACTCCTCAGCAGAGCCTCCCGGGAGACACCATGTGAAGTCAGAAGGCACAAGACAGTGGGAATGTGGATTGCCACAGCCCTAAGTCAGGCACGGCCAGAGACAGTGAGGGAAGGAAGGCAGAGAGCTGGCTGTGGTGGGGACAGACAACTAGCAGGGCAGCCAGGTGATTAAACAGACTATCAGAAGGATGAGGCAGACTGGGAATTGGAGGGAACAAAGCAGTGTGGGGACAGAGTTGAACAGTAATCAGGTATGCTCTGATCATAATCTGTAACCTATCCAATATAATATAAATCCCCCTACCCATTCATTTTTGCAAGTTGCATTGAGAGGAAACAACTCTTAAGAACTGTCCTATTATCAGTCACTCGTTAGACTGGACATACTATTAAACTGCCTTTTTATTTTTGAATATATCAACCTATTAAAATGNCCTATTATCAGTCACTCATTAGACTAGATATACTATTAAACTGCCTTTTTATTTTTGAATATATCAACCTATTAAAATGAACAACCAATTGTTTATATTTTTAAAATCCTGAGATGCATTCTGTGTGATGAAAAGATCAGTGTTTAAATAAGTGCACTGAAATATCACAAATAGTGGTCATAATTTCACAGCAGGGAAGTGTCATCTATCCACAGACTGATGCAATGCCCCTGTGACTCTACTTACTTACTACTAATCCACATACACATATAAAGGAAGCTCTCTCAGAATTCTCTTCTGGTGTTCCTAATTCATTTTTCTCCAATTATATCTAAATACCTCCCAGGAATACTTTTCTGCTTCTAATCATAGGGACATTATTGTTAACTTCTTGCTTACAATGACACAATGATTAATCTCTTGATTGATTTTTAAAAACTGCTTAAAATGTTTCCCATGAGTAACCACCCTTAGTTGTCCGGGTGTGTGAACAAGGGATCTGTGCACAATAGAATTTCAAAAGTATTTAGACAAATTGTACATAACACCAAAAGTAACTGCTCAGCATTTTAGCTCTTTAAATGCACACACACCTGGCCCCTCTATGTCCCACTACTTTTAGAAGACAGAAGGTCAAAGGCATCAGCCTCTTGCCATGATCACATATAAGATGAGTGACTAGAGAGGGAAAATAAGATGAGAAAGCAATAAGATAGAAAAATGTATTTTCCAGTATGTTCCTAAAAGCAGTAATTACTGAGCTTTATTACTGTTCATCAAAATGCTTTCCTCTCATGGGGCAATACTGCTTTCAGGGATTCTAGAAACTTAGAGTGTTAAAATCATGTGCAAGTTATGACTGGCCATGGGCATCACTCAGAACTCTGAATGCAGGTGTATAACTACTGCCCAGCATCCCGAACCCTCAGCCTTTAAGTGCTACATATTTCCTGAAAATGAAAGAAATGAAATATCTTTCAAATCCCCAGACAACTGCCATGTTCCAAATAAATGGGTATTAATTTCTGAAAATTAATAACACTTCTCTGTATAAGAAAAAACCCAGAAGCCTGTACTTAATGATTTAAAATGCTGTAAGTGAATAAAAAGCTGTATATTACATACAGTGAGGCTTTTTCTAAGAGATTGTACCAATCTACCAACTGAAAATTCCTGCCACCATTAGGCATAACTAAAAAAATAAATTTATTATACACTCAACTGTCTAAAATACCTGGATCTGTTTCCCTGACGACACTAATTACTCCATGGGAGCCACAGTATTTACTTCTCCCCCAGCTGCCCTTTCATTCAACACAACAGTGCCAGACAGAGGTCACCAGCTTAGCACTTTCCAGACTACACATGCTCCGTCAGGTGGCAGCCCCCAGACCCCTTCCTCCGGGGACTGGGCATCCCTTGTCACCCTTGCACCCTTCGGGAAGGTGAGCCCTTTAGTGACAAGTGCTCACTTGGTGGGAGCGCCTCGTCCACCCTCTGGTACCGGCTAACATCCTGGCGCACTGAAGGCAGCGATCTCAATGGCTGGTGGCCGTTGGCTTGAGAACCTAGGATCAGAGGTAGAAAATTATCCAGGTATTGTTTTTCCCCTCAGTGTCTTAAAAAAAAAATACAACTAACATATATACCTGAAACTAATATAATATTGTATGCCAACTATACTTTGATAAAAACATTTTCAAAAACTTAACATAAATCGCGGGGCTAGTCTCTCTTCTCTCCTGAGTCTCATTTCCCGTATGAAGACCCAGAAACAAAAGAGAAGAGCACATGAATGCTGAGTTAGGAAAGGGCCTTCTGGAGGGCGTCCATCTGCACCCCTCCCCCTCCCGGTCTTCCCCCTCCTGGCCTCTGTCCTGGTCATGCACTAATACTGCAGGGTCACACTGTATATGGCCACAAAATGAAGGAAGCAAAACAACAACAAAAGACCAAAAAAAAAAAAAAAAAAAAACAAGAAAGAAAAGAAAATCATTCCTATTCTGAGTCTGTGCTATTTAGGCACTTGAAATTCTCCTTAGACTTTTTGATGCATCTATAATAGAACATTTTAAAGGAATCACTGTATTGAGCCACATTCATTGACACATAACACAATTTTTATGTGTACATTTGTATCCTAAGACACTCAAACAGGAGGCAAAAAATAGTATATTTGATGCAAAGCCCGCATTAGTTCCTCTTTTGAAAGTTTTATGCAAGAAGGTGTGACCTGAAGGTGTTCCAGAAAACCTCAGCATATTACACTAACATCGAAGCCGTTGGCCTGCTTGGTTTTGTCTACAAACCCAGGTCCCGCCAGAGATGCGTTGTTTCAGTTTGTTTGTACACTGCCCAGACAGGGGACTCGGCCTTGTCGTGGCCCACACATGCACAGTTCACTCCAGTGCACCCGTCCTCAGGCATCTAGGCCCTCCAGGCCTGTGCGGACAGGGAACCCCAGCCCCCACCCCAGGGGCCATCATCCTGGGGAGAGCGGGTCCCCACAATGTATTCCTGATACAGAGCCTCAAGATTCATTATTTAAGTCTGAACACTTATTTGACAGGCCTCTTATATCAGCATTAGAAGATCCATTGAAAAATAATAATAAAGCTAACCACCGAGCCCCAAGGTGAAGAATTCAGATAACAGTCAATCTGCAGTATAATTTACATTAAGGGACAAAACCACAAGACTTCTCTTTGAACAGGAATGCTTGAGCCAAGAGCCACGCTGTCTCCTACATCCTACCTCCAGTAGCGCCCTCCTCCTGGGCAGCGGCCCCTTCACAAGCCCCCTGGGCCTCGCCAGCATCGCCCTCTTCCTGGGGCTGGCTCTCCGCAGCAGCAGCAGCTCCCTCTAGGCTGCCCCTCCGCTGCCAGACCTCCCCCGCCTCGTCCTGGTCAGGTAAACTGGCAGAGTCTGCCGCTGGCCCTTCCTCCTCTCCACTGGGCATGTGCACCGCAGGTAGAGAACCAGGAGCGCATGTGGACTCATGTGACCCTTCGGTGGGCCCACTGCTGGTGGGCTCTGCTGCACAGGCTCCGTCTTCCTCCTCCTGAGAAGAAAAGGCTGGGGTTTCGGGAAACCGTGCACTCTCAAGAGATGAGCACCGTGTCTCCACTGAGGACAACTGCGTCGTAACACTCTCATTGCAGGAGCTGTCAGCGCCTTCCAGGTCGCTCTCTCCCTCCGGCCTGGTGCTGGCCTCGCTCACGCTCTCTGTCCTGGCAGGGTCACTGGGTTCTGTTTCAGAGGACACCTGGGAAGGCTCAGAGCCCTGGTCAAGGGACTCAGTCTCACTGATGGCTCTTCGGCTCCCTCCGGATGTGTCAGAGGTCCCTGTGTCGGCCCCACTCGTGGGCTGATCTGCCTCTTGAGAACCACACAATTCAGTGCTGCCCTGGTCGGCAGTGGGTTGAGACTCTGGGCCATTTTCACCTTCATCTGGGGCTGGGCCTGAGGCTGGGGAGCTCTCTGCAAGCTCTGGAAGATTTTCCGGCTTATCCTCAAAGGAAGCAGCATCATTCATGGAGGCTTCCTCAACTTCCAACAGGTTGTCTTCAGGCTTTGTCTGAGAGGTCAGGCTCGCATCGTCAGTTCTCGATGCCCTGCTGAACATTATTAACCCTCCCTCCTCCTCTAACGAAGATGGATAGCCCAGGTCCTGCTTGAACTCGTGGTCTTCTTCATCTGAGTCGATGTGAAGCATGGCACTGAGTCTCGTGTCGGTGGGAAAACTACTCCTCAGTTTCGGAGAGGCTCCCACGGACCTCTCCGAGCAGGTAGTTGTGCCCGGCCTGGAATGGCCATTGTGTTCAATAGCATCTAAATAATCATTGAGTGAATCCTGACGTCCTCTGGGAGGTGAGGTCCTTGAAGAAGTAGAGGTTAAATCCTCTGTGTCCATTTCCAGAGTAGAGCTAGTCCTGAAAGAATGCTTGGGGGTGCCACAGGCACTTTCCTCAGAAACTGGCCCATTGGAACACACCGGGCTGTCGTGATGGCCCCCTGGCACGTCTTCCTCATCAGAAGGGCTTCCGAGGTCTCCGTTCACAGAACTGACTCCAAGTATTGTGCCAACAGCTTCTGGAGAAGCATCTGAAGGAGAAAACAGCATTTGTACAAAGCAGTATACTAACAAATGAACTTTCAATGTCCTATTCCTTTGCCATCAATCAGTTCAAAGAATTCAGTCATCCCACTGAGGCCTCTACAGTATCCCGACTTGCTAAGACTCACTGCTCTAACAAGCACATTCCTGGTCACTCTGACATATGAGGTATATATGCTCACAACTGCTGGAAACTCTACAGCCCGGATTCCAAATGCAGGTGTACACCTAAGAGATATTTTTGATAAACAGGATTTCATAACTGCTTGAAAAACTTCGGCAGGTAATCATTGGATAGCTATTCTATTTTCAGAACAGGACACAAATTTGATTCTATTCGAATGCAAACTGACAACTGAGTAAGATTTTACAAGTTTTTCCCCACAGGGATGTATTTATACCAATATCTCACCTTCATGCAGGGAAGACGTAACCTCCACTTTAAACTGGAGGTAGCCACTCACATGGTCAGCTGGGAGCCTTCTGCCGAGGTTGTAGCTGAGCATTTGATCACTGCAAGAGGAGAAAGGGTTTTCATTCTTACACACTGGTGTCAGCCTGTGTCTTCTTCCCACAGGTCATCCCTCCCCCAAACCCCACGTATTTCTCTTAAAACTTTCAGATTCATAGGAAAATAAAAGGCTCAAAAGGCCTGTTAGAGTCCAATGTGATATTGTTCATTCATATAACTGAATACTTATAAAACCAGGGAGAAAATGAAATCTTGTCAGAAGGAAAATTATTAGTAAAAGCAGGAAATGCAATACTGCATTTTTTAAAGTGCACTGATTTGCTTTCTCACTGCTGAGAGTGACCAGGGAAAGGGCACTTTGAAAGTCATCAAGGAGCTGTGAAAGGCCTAAAATTATGGGTGCTTTTGGGCTCAGGTTTAAGTATAGTGGGCCTGGTTCCTTGGCAGTGAACACGATAGGAAGCTCGTTCTAAAGGACACGTAGGTAAGGATTCTCACACACTGTCACGGAAGGCACTGTGCTGCTGTGTCCTCAAGAATGGGAGCTGGGAGTTAGGGGAGAACAGGACACGCCCTGACGGCTGCTTCAGTTTCGTAAAAAGTAGGGAGCCGCTGAACCTCCCCTTCCTCAGCTGTAAAGTAAGGGGGCTGGAGCTGTTGGCCCTCACATGGGAGACCCTGGCCATCGCTGGTTCTCAGGGTGGCATGTGAGTGATACTGATGGGACAGCTGGAGAAGCTAGAAGTGCCATTGTGGTGTGCCTTATTGCCACACTTGGAGGCATGCTGAAGGGGACCTCAAGTGGGCCCACCCAGTTTCTGCCCCACCTTGGCCCCTGGGCTCAAGCTACCAGCCTCTTCAAGCATGAAGCTGTCCATCTTTTCAATTCTGTGTTTATTTATCAAAGTCAAATGCAATTACATCATTTCTTTGTATGCAAGCAACTTTCATTCTGAATCTGACCTATTTAATTAAGGAAAATAACCAAAGGCAAAGTACCAAACGGTACCATCTCTGCTCTTACACTGCCCTCTAATGGCAACTTCAGGAGAAAAATACCACGCCTCTACCTAATATTTGCACCACAGTGCAGTAGAGTCTCTAGTCAGTGGTTTATTATTGATCTGCATAATTATTTGTTTGTGCTTCTCTACCTCCTCAGTTCAATTCTAAATATATGTTATCCATTTAAAAGAATACATGCTAATATGAAATCTCGGTTTAGCTCTTATGAATTTCTTTGACTTCATAGCAAGAATTTCATAAAACAGTAAGGTTACATCCTTACCTTTTTCTTTTACTTCGCTAGAAACATTGCAATATTTTTTTCTTTCTTGAGTGCTGCTTTTAAAATGCTTTGTTTCCCCTAGTTGAGTCTTACTGTGTGTCACTTACACTCTGCTGTGGGCTTCACCTGCATCACCTCTTCTGACCCTCCCAGTAACGCTCTGAGGGAGGTGGATAACCGTTTGCTAGAGGGGCAAAGGAAGGCCTAGGGAGGCTAAGTAACTTGCCCAAGGCGAGGCCACGATGAAGTAACAGAACCAGGATTAGAATAGGGATTCTTCTGACACAGAAGCTCCTGCTCTGCTGTCGCCATGTCACCTCATTTTATGTATAATCCCAGTGATTCTACATTGCTTTTAGTAACACATGTCTTAATGACATGTATTTACTCATGGCTCACTTCAGTGTGACTGCCATCATAATGCTTTTTCTATTTAATTTAGTATTTTAAAACTTTTTTCTGTAAAGGGCTATGTAGGCATCTGTGACTATCAGATATTACAGGTGTGTTAAATGCTTTTACATTAGAGTGTTCAAATAACATTATATAAAGGCCGTCATCTGCTAATAGAAGGGATCTTTTTGTTTCTTACCACTGTCTTCCCAGCATTTATGCAGCGCCTGACACACAGGTACTCCACCTCTGTCCACTAATGCACAGACCCAGCAGCCAATTACATGGACCTGCTCTCAACATTGTGGTTCCTCACCCATCTCTTTGGATGTGCAGTCCTGGAATAATTAAAATCTTCCTTTCTTTGTTAAAACTGAATTGGCCCTCCCCTCCTCTTCTTTGGCCAATAAAAGTAAAGTGTTGGTGTTAATGACAAAGATTTATAAAAGTGATGAATTTTAGCTAGGAAATAAATGTTTAGTAGGAATTGTAAGGAAAGAACTGCATCCATCTGTTTTGCTCACTATCACATCCCCAATACCCAACAAACACAGTGCTGAACATTTAGTAGACACTATTTATGTACATACACACACACCCACACACACACATTTGTTGAATAAATTAATTAACAAATGAAACTCTCTCCTTGGAAAAAAATAATTTTAACAGGTGTTAGTGCTGATTATTAGCCAAACTTACAAGATACTCAATTCAACTACCCAAACTGCACATATAGGAAATCCTCCACATTTGGAGATTCCGAGTCTAGGGTTTCGTCCTTTGCTGAGGGCCTGTGGGATTCAGCTGCTTCCCTACTCTTACCAAGTCCCATCTGACTCATCCTGCCTCTTGCTGGGATATATTATTATGAACAACATATTATACATTATTATGATACATAATTATAAAGAATAAGTGCCAAAGAACTCTCACTATCTGACTGAAACATTTCTCACTAATGTCATCAGAGCAATTAACAAAGCCTGGGAAAGTGACGTGCTCTGGGACAGAACGCAGGCCCTCTCTGAAAAAGGCCAGGTTCCAACAAATGCTCTCAAAGCAGGCCATTCGTAAGTTCTAGCTCACCCTATAAAACTGCACCTTGTAAAGCCTCGATTATTTCTGATAGTTTCAGTCTATCAAACACATAAGTAATGCAAAACCAGCATTTTTCAAGATGTATTGATTGCTAGATGGAAAGTAATAATCAGATCAGAAATGCTTATTTCGATGCTAATATGTGGTCTACTAATATGTGGTATATATCATTCTTATTTAATAAACCAAATCCCTAAGTCTCTGTATCAGGCAATGCTTTCAATGTACTTATACATAAATATTGCGTAATTCTGCTATTTTATGAATTCACGCCAGACTTCTTCCCAGTACACGTGGACTCCATGATCAGCAGTTCTCTAGGTGTCCAGTTCTTTAAAAGACTAAATGAAAAGCCAGCAAGTCAACAGAAGTTTCAAACACTGACAAGGATTTATCTTCCCTTGGTCATTCTTGCTTGCATCCATAAATGGACACTTCTGCCAAGTGTCACTTTTTATTATGCAAATTATATAATTATATAAATTAAATGGTAGCTACATTTCCCATAGTTACTCTCACTCTATAATTTTTCACTTTCTATAAACCCTCAAAATCATTTTTAAAACTTCCCGAAGTATATTATCTCCACTAGAAGCAATAATTGTTATTCTTAAAAATAACTGATTTCTCAGCTTGGATCAGATAAACCAGGCTGCTAGATTTTCAGTATAATATTTATACTTCATGTGGGCTGGCTCAACCACAAACTCCATTGCCTCTGATAGTCAGAGAATTAGTATCCATTAGAATATCTTAGTTTCAGGTTTTCAAGGGTCTTAGAGATGACCTGGTCTAAATGCTGTATTTTTCAGGTAAGAAAACTAACACCCAAGGAAACTGGGACATGCCAACACAGTTAATTAGCTGCAGAGTGAACATGGATGACTGACCTCCCTCAGTTAACTAATGAGCGATAGCACACGACTGCCAGTCCTTAAGGTGCCGCAGAGAAGCCAAGATTCTAGAGCGGACTGATCTGAACTCGCAGCCCAGCTCCACCACTTGCTTGTTAACCTCAAATTCCTCATCTCTGAAATGGGTATAATTACATTCTTTACCTCCCAGAGTTGAGAGGACTACATGAGCTAATGAGTATAATGTACTTAACTCCAGACAGAGAGCAAGCTCTTGGCATCTTTTTTGTTTACTTACTACTACTGCTACAACTACAACTACTAATATTGTTACTACTGATTCTGCCACTGTTACTATTACTACTGCTGCTGCTGCTGCTACGACTCAGCTACTACTACTACTACTGCAGCCACCACATGTTCATAATGTTCTCCTACAATGGAAAAGATTCCAAAAATATGCCCCCGGGGCTACCTCGGAGCACCGGAAGTTCTCAGAAGAACTCAGAAGTTCTTTTACTTCTTCCCTGAGTTTGCTGGTACTTGTCTAGTACAAACAAACATACCATTTATAATGAGGGATGGAGGCATGTTAAAATTTCTTAACTACTTTATTCACAACTTATAAAAGGCTCACAAAAAGAAAACAGACATCAAAATAAATTTTAGTTGCCTGAATGAATGCATACATCTCGGAGTTCTACTATCATACCTCCTCAGGGTCTACGTCTTGTTTGAAAACAAGGTGGTTTTTGTTTTTCAGGAATACCAAGTTCTCTGGAGGGGATTACTCCGGTTAAGGGAGGTGTCAACCTGACACCAGGATCCTGATCTAGGGAGGGGCATTTAGAGCAGGATTTCAATAGGCTCAAAAACAACTGAGGGAAAGCGGGGGTGGGAGAGTGAGAGGGAAAAGATTAATCAAAGGACTTATATGCATATATGAATAACCCATGGATACAGACAATAGTGTGGAGAAGGTCTAGCGTGGGGGTCAGATGCAGGGCGGAGGGGAGCAATGGGGGAAAAAAGGTGGCATCTGTAATACTTTCAACAATAAAGATAAATTTAAAAAAACAAAAACAAAAAATACAAAAACTGAGCACTACGATAATGGTGCTGAAATGCAATGGTAGGTACATCTTGGAAAAGATAGATCCCCAAAAATGGTACATAATTTAAAAAAATGTGCTTTTTCTCCTGCACGTTTCAATGTGTGAGCATTTTTATTTCTAAAAGAAATATGTTATCACTTCATTCAGAGAAAGTATCGTTTCAGCTGCTTCTGTACAAACCAATCTCACAAAGACCCGCCGCATGAGGGCTGATTACCCTATGGCTTGCCGCTCCAGCAGCCTCTGGACTGGAATGGTGAGTTTCCCCAGGAAACGCTTGATGATAGGACGGCTCTTGGCAAATTTGTCTTTAATTTCAATCTCTAAGACATCAGTAAGAAGCGCAAAAAAGGAATATTTCTGAAAACAAAGACAGATAACAGGTTGATTTAAATAAAGACAAATGTAAAATTATATCATTTATTGTTATAAAAAATGGTATCTCTTAAATCCTAATGACATACAGAGTCTACATTGCTAGAAATATCTGCAGCTGTTGTCAGTCCTTCATTCACTCAGGCTCATTGACATTCACCAATGATTAAAAAGCAACAGCTTAGGATCTGCATGACAAAGGAAGGCCCTTCCATCACCCATCCCTTCCTGGTTCAACAGCTTCAGGAGATGCTATCAAATATTAAATTGTGCACAATACAATTTTAGTATTCACTACCTTTATTGTATCTTAATTCTTTGAAATTTAATATCCTGTTGTAGGATGGTTTAGAATTTACCGAGATATTTGCTTAACAACAATTTTAGTTCCTGACCCCATGTTATTTAGAAGTTGCACAACATAGGTTAAAATACCCCTTGGTTAAAGTAGAAACATATACAGGATACAATGGTTTCCTTGGTAAATATTAAAATAAAAACAATGTCTACATGGAAATTACTTAATTTAAAAGGCACACAGGCTCATTTCTTCTGGGACAGAAAAATAAAAGCATGAGGTTAAGATAAGCTTTGTTGTTTTGGTTAAGAAGAGCACTGGAGAAAATAAGATTGGATATTAATAATGATATAAAATACATATAACGAGCTTACTCATTTAGAAAGACTTTCACATATCTTTACAAAGATAAAATTTTCTTTTCAACATGACAATCTAAGGAAAAGTAAGTGATGGGACCAGGAATCTAACCTGAATCATTTCACTTCTTCCCTGACAGTATCCAGACAACCACAGGGATGGGAACAGTGCCAGCCAGCTTTACACTTAGGCACCACTAAGTTTACTTAGTCCTGATGAAGCTCTCCAAAGGGCCATGCAGTTTAGGAATCTACTTCATGAAAGAAGGACTCGCTTAGGATAAGAGCTGAGTTTAAGCACTAAGACTTCTGCTTCTAAATAGTTACATAAATACTTTTTCAGTTTCTTAATCACAAAAATGGAGAAATGATCATCTCATCCCTTACACCCGGCTTATCAAGCTTGCACTGGTTACGTGGTTAACAACTTTGTAAATATTAAGTGTGAGGAAAATAAAGTTATTGCTAGTGTCACTACTGTTTCTGTTCTGTGCCTTCTAGAGCTCATATGGAGATAAATGTTACATTTTCTAGGCTTCTAATGTGTTAAGTGGTACACCTTTAAAAGTTATTTACTATTTGGAGATAGTAAGTACTAGTTTTTTCAACCAAGAATAAGAAAACACACATTTATCTATTTAAAAAACCATGAGAATTCCCCAGGAGAAACACCTGGCTGGGCTGGCAAGTCCTAAATAGCCATACCTTTTCTCCAATTGGTTTTAGATCCCCTGCATTATCTCTCTCTCTAATAAAATATGTCTACAACATTGTCGTAGCATATTATTGTCATTAAACATTTAGAGAATGATTTAATTGTTTGTGTGATTCCTATGCCAGTAAAGGTACACCAGAAACACTCTAGTATTTGCAATGTGTCTTGGATCCCAAAGAAATGTAGGAGAGCCCTTGCTTTGCTCCCTAGATGAGAAACAAGGTCTCTCTGTTCATTCTCGGACTTTCTGTGGTTCTAATGAGAAGACCTCCTGCCCGATCTCACTGATACGCTGCACTGAACCGACTGGCAGCAGAATGTAGCCGTGAGGAAGCCTGAAGTACCGTCAGCACAATCTGGCTTCATTCTTTGAATGGCTCATTTAATTTACTGAAATCTAGAAACCCAAACAACATTTGCCAAAGCCTGTAGGCAGAGAAGTTCTTTTACTTTATACTGAATATATGCCAGAACAAAATAGCAAAATTTTAAATACATACAGAATCATTATTCCTGCTTTTTCCCTCTGCCTCAAGGTCTAATACGATTCCACGAGATAATGTTACTGATCCTGTCCTCACTTCAAATTTTGATACTTTGTTCTCACAATTTTTTTTGGCATTGATTTTGACTTTTAAAAAATAATACATTGCATTAAGATGTTTCTTTTGATTTTTGAGTCTTTGGCATCCTTTAAATAGTGTACCTGAGGTGGGCGCCTCGCGTGCCTCATCCTAAACCCAGCCCTGGCTAGAAGGGAATACCTCATTCTCATGGTGGTGCCCTCTTTCTAACAGATCCCCAAGACGCCTCAACCACCTTGCCCACACCCATAAACAGCTCAATGATGCACAGAGTCCAGAGGAAAGAGATGGAGTTGGCCAGCCCCTTAACTGTCAAGTATAAGACCCCCAAGGATCAGCTTACCTCTCGGTGCCAAATTGGATTAGTGGTGTTGCTGATGATAGTGGACCTTCTCTCCTGCCCGTGATGGGCACAAGTGGGGAAACTGCTCTTCTTCCCAGGCTGAATGGACATCTTAAGGTAAGGGTCCGGATTGAAGAACATCCCTTTCTTTAGCCCAACAGCTCTTAGATCTTTAAAGAAAGAGAGAGACAGAGAGAAGGGAGAGAGGGAAGAGAAGGGGGAGGAAAAGGGACAGGAGGACAAGCAGCTCAATGACAATTTGTTCTTAAATAATCATACAGAAAGCTCCAAACAAACTATTTGGTGAAAATGGTAACAAATTTATTCACACACTATGATTGCTTAGATGAGTGAGGACAAGTGAGTTATGACTAATTTCAGCCGAGGGGTCTCCTAACAGGCAGCAAAAATGAAACCGAACTTTTACCACCACCTTACAACACCTAAACTCACTTCCCGGGAACCGTTTAGATTCTAACATGCTCATGGTTTGGCAGCCAGCATTTCAAACAATGTCTTGAGAAAAATCCTTAGTAAACAGTTTATTTTAAAAAACAAACCCAATAAGTTCCTTCATGAGAGAAAAATGAATCTTCTACATATATACATGGAATGCACAGACCTAAGTTTAATTGGGGATGAAACTTCAGAGCACACATTCAGTTATGCCACATTAAAAATGGTCATATATATTCCACAAATATCATGAATGTTAGGGGAAAGGGAAGACCAGAAATACTTCTGAAATTTGGAGGCTACCTGTTAGATTAAATAACTGTGAGGTTACTTTTTCAGTAGCTTAAGTAACTTAAATAGCTGATGAATGTCCCATAATTCATCTTAGATTCACCAGTTATTATTTCACACTATGTGAGCTGCTAAAAGTTCTGGCTAAAGTCTGGTTAGTGAAGAGATTGACACTTTTTTAAATTTCCAGATTAGCTAAGGGATACAAAAATATCAGGAAATAAAGCTGGCTTCACTGAGTCCCCAACACCCTTCTGAGAATATCAGTGTGAATTAGGTTCACACTGAGAGCTAAGAGATCTTGAAGATTCTGGAAGAATGGACTGTTTCCAGGTAACTTCATGCAGTTATGATCAGTCTAGGGAGGTCCTGACCACTGGTTCAGATAGAAATTTTGCAGGTGGCCTATGAACCTTCAAAGACCCTGGGATTACCCAGACCAGCTAGGGAAGAGACCCTGCATCGTGACCCTAAATTGTCTCCAGGGTCATCCCACTCAATCCCATTTCTGAAATGCAAAGTCTTTCTTAGGAGGCCAGGACTGGCCTGGGGTTGCCCACAGAACCATAATCTTAGGGAGTGCTCCCTGGAGGAGGCTCCCTTCCTCATCTAGGCCAACGAGAACTTGTGGTCTAGGTACCTGTGCAATGGAAACGGACCAGGAATGTCTAATGACACATAACTGGCAGTAAAGGGAGGCAGTTTAATATGCTGGCAAAGACTGAAAAATTCAACCAATAGGACCTTATGTTAAGAACACTGCATGAAATAGAGTACTATCTTTGATCTCAAAACTGGCGGGAGGAGGGAAAGACAAGTAAGTAACTAGACAGGCACCTGAGAGAAGCTGCTGTCATCTCCTCAGCCTCGTAGTTCCCATTCCCGGCACTTCCCAGGGCGTTTGCATTTTATTATCAATTTAACAATGCTACATGTTGTCACTGGGCTTTATTTAGCATAAAGTGGCCTTGAGGGGAAAATGCAATTTACATACTTATTTTCTTACCTTTCCTGATTATGCTTACCTCAGACTCAAAGACAGAAGAATGATATTCCTTAGATATTAAATCGACTTCTAAATAAGGGGTTTCTTTGCAGTAAATGAGGAATAACATGTACAGAAATGGCTGCCACAAAGTCTGACAGAGCTAAATTATTCATGCAAAACATTCCTTTGAACACAAAGAATTCCCCCAGAAGACTAAGCCACTCTGATGAAAGAAGTCACTGTTAACCCTCATTCCAAGCTTTCCCACAAGGGACACTGTGCAAACCCATCTTCATTAAGAAATACAATAAACTACCAAGTATGTGTAATCTGATTATTCAGTTTCCTTTACCCATCTCATTTCTGCTCTTGTTTCTTTCTTTTGCCTTCTATATATTTTATTGCTCATAAACATCCGCATCACCCAATAGACCAATGAGGAACTCAAAGTCACAAAGGTATCATGCCATGTTAAATATCCCGGTTTAAGGTTTCATTTGGAGAAGAGGTTTAATATATTAATCAAAACACAGTTTTTGTTTTAGCTGTAGAGTTCAATTATTTGTGTTCCTACTTATCCATAGATAATCAGGAGTAGAGCATTTGCAGCAGCCATTCCTCAGTGCCTAAATGCTCTTGGATAAATATTATCATTCACTGTCCATATGCTACAACCAGATTAATTTTTTAGAATTACCATTACAGAATTGTTTTCATATTCTATAATTTTAGCCACTTCTGTATACCATCTGCAAATATCTGACCATATGGTAGGAAATAAGACATTTTTAGCTAGCCCCCATGTGTACTGAGGTGGGATGTTAGAAGAAGTTGTAGTTAAAGAAGAAACATTTAGCTGTGCCCCAAAGCTCATCTCCTACTTTTTAGGAAAATGTCCTGGGATTTCCATCTTCTAGATGGTCATTTTCCCATAGTGAGTTAATTAACACCCCTCTGGAGTCAAAATCTGTATGTGTGTATCGTGTTAGAATGATACTGATCACTCTGAAGCACTGGGCAATGCTTCTAAACTAAGAAAACCTTGGTGTGGTCAAGCTACATTTTCTGAGCCATGCAGGTCGGCTAGCTGTTCTCTGTCTATAGAAAGGGACTGCGAGGGTCTAAAGTACAGGCAGCCAACTGAAATGTTCTCAGGAGACACACAGATGATGGGCTCGGGGAGTGTCACAGGCCGTGGTACTTCTAAGCACCCTTCTAAAAACCCAGACATTTGTAAACCCTGAGGGTTCCAACAAAACATATTTATTGGCCAAATTTGAACCATAAGCCACCAGTTCACAATCTCCGAGATTTGCCAGAAAACAAAAACAAAAAAGGCTTTCATAGTAAGTGCCCTCATATGGGGAGGAGAAGGAACATGCTAGAGCATACATGGACTCTGGGAGGCTATGGGAGGCAATGAACTACTTTCGATGCACCCTTTTATCCTATGTGATAAGTACACACCATTGCAATGTCTACTTTCAAGATCAGCTGCTAACTCTCACTCCTGAGAATACCTATTTTCATTCACATTTTTTGCAGCCAAGAAAGTGAATCTAATTTAAATTTCAGAAGCACTACACCAATGGAAAAATGAAAACAAAACACCTTACAGTGACAGACATCTGTTAGACTTTCTTTTGTATGTGTTGGAGCACAGTTGTCTATTTTAAAAGCCCACTTCAAACACTGATTTTCTTAAGGTATTCTTGACTCTTAAGAAAATTACTGCCAAGTAATTTTTTAAAAATTAGTGGCTTTCAAACTTTTTTGACAGTGACCTACATGTGACGTAACATTTTACACTGAAACCCAGTATACACATACAGAGAGGTGTGTATATTTTCTTGCGTGACATTTTTCAGTTTATATAAACTGATGTTCTATGAAAAAATATTTCCCTTTGGTAGTAAACTGATTTTTTCTAATCCTTTTTAAATTGCTAGTTTCAACTAAATAAATCTTATAAACCACAATGAATTCCAACTCGCCACCAGTGCTTTCATTTTATGATAAACATATAAGCAGTTATAATATTTTAATAACCAGAAAATTAAAAGATTGTTTTATCCACTTTCCAATTTTTGTGTGTATTTCTCCACAGAAATATGAGTATCCCTTGGCTTTTTTCCCCTAGTCTCCAAATCTTTCCTTTCTCTATATGACATAAGCATAAATAATTTTCAATAACCAAAGCCCTAATGTGGAGTTAACACATTACATTACAGATTTTTTTAAAGTAACTAAACATAGTTATAGTCTTTTTAGCACCAGAAAACTTGGTAGAAGAAATAACTTCTGAGTTTACATCAATAATCTATTTTATCATGGCAAAATATATACTTGAATTTCAGAAGTATTATCCCCCAAATAAATAAATAACTAGTTCATATATTATATATGAGAATCAGTAAAAGAAGTGACTATTCATTCCCTTAAAATTGCACATTTTCAAACTGGACATATGCTTAATTAAAGTCAGTCTTACCGGACAATGTAAAGCTAACAAGTTTCCGAGAATGCTGACTTCCTGAAGCACCTCCTTCCATGCCTTCTGCCCCCATCTGCAGACAAAAAACATGCATTCACAGGAGTATGATGCTACCCATCTTCCCTAGGGAATCACATATGTTTGCAAATATGATGACTTTTGTATCAAACTTGTACTTAATATGCCTTTTCATATGCTACAAATCTTGGAATTGAGACACAAATGCAGATTCTTAGAGATGAAAGAAAGGACCACACCTAAATTTCATCTTTACCCAAAATGAAACCAATATGCTGGGATATGAATCCACTTATTTTGTATCCTTTTAGTTCTTTGATAAGAATATAGTTGATATGTAGTAAATGTACTTATATTGCTATTTCTGTATTAAAACATTCCTTAAGTTAACAAACCAAACATCAAATTCCTTCAGACTTGTCAGAAAGACCTAGAATAAACTAAAAAGGTGATTTATATCAGACTCATCCGTATAAATGGAGAATTATCCTCTCTTGCCAAACATTTCTGAGTGGCCACGTGGATGTCCCATCGCCCTACAGGAGCTCCTGTTTTATTGTGCCACAGGCACATGACACACGCTATTATAATTAGTTGTAATAAGAATTTACAATGTGATTGTACTAATCATTGTACCATGAAGTTTTTCCTAAAAGCTTTCGAGTAAATTATATAACATTGAAACTAGCCATTTATAGACCACGTAGCAGATTTAGCCTTTCTCTCAATTTATGTTCAATTAGTGCTCAATTTATGGCACACTAGGAAAAAAGAGTTTCATGGTTCTCTTAAAAAAAAATCCACAATACGGTAAGAGACAGATTGAAGGCAGAATATATTTTGAATTGTTGGAAAATAGAAACCACATTAGTTTAGATTAAATCCTTCCATCTTTTATCTTTCTGGCACTCCCCACACTCCTTTAAAAATCATATGCCACCAAGAAATAAAGCTTTCACTTACCCAAGAAAAGCTTTAAAATTTCAAAATAAATTCCATTCAAATTTTGAAATATAAATCTCTACTTCTTTCTCCACTTCCTGTAACTCCGTCAAAACTATTTTGTGCGACAATTGCTTCCTTAACGTTTCACATGTCATTTGCAATATACTAGGGTCCCATCCAAGTATCTTTATTTCATTCCATCCATCAAACCAACTCCTTGATGACACTGGGTTGGCTCTAGACGAGTACATGTGGCTTATTATATTACATGCTACCCCTCTGACTCATGGTCCCCAGATGAATGAACAGGGACAAGAGCAAACTGGCCAGGCAACCGATCGCTGTTACTATCTCATCCTACTTTCACTATATACAGTCCTGGCCTATAGAGTGGTGAACAGCAAGACAGTATAGACTACAGCGAGACAGACAGACATCTGATAAACCATGGCTTCCTCTCAAATAAACCGCATGGCCCTGTGACCTGTAAAACCCCCAAAGACACGATGTCCCTTCCTGCTAAGGGATACTCATGCAAAGTGAGTTAAAGGAGACTGAAAAGATTCATAGTCTTTTTAAAATAAACCTTAAACAGGTTTATTTAAGACCTATTTAAAATATTATAAGATATTACAGAAACAAAAGAAAATACCCTTGAATTCTCATTTTTAAAATATAATTCATTGTCTGGCAAAAGACTAACGTAAAACAATTTTCACAGAATTCACAGATAAACAGTGTCCTTTACTACAACTGCGGCAAAATGCTCATCTGATACAACACTCAAATAACTCAATTTTATCACTGATGACCATAAAGACAGGAAAGACCAAGCATTACCTCTAGCTATGGGGGCTTCAGCGATAATAAAAACATCTGCACTCACTGTTTGGAGAAAAGTTTTTAAATAAACTCACTCCCTAGATTCATTCCAGGAAAACCCAGAAGCAACACTGTCAACCAAGCATTGAAACAATACATGGTAGTGAGTGATGGTAGCCTACATCTGTCCCTGAAGCCAAAGGATTTCCTGTTCCAAATATCTGAGATACATACCACTGTGTACTCTGATGAATGACAATGAGGTCAAAGTACTAATGACAGAAAAGACATGACTTTTTTTTATCCTTGACGCATTGCAAAAGGATGTGTGAGAACGGAGCAGATTAGGATGGCAGCTCGTTTCCTTCCCTATAGAGTCTCTCAGTTACTTCTTCCAGGACTATTCTTTGCAACTGGTGATGCGATAATCATACCAAGTGGGTTTGTGACTATCGATGCAGTTGGTCAGTTTCAGGAACTAAACACATGTCATACACCTGGAGGAATCATCATGCTGTGATACAAATACAGCGCTCACCCTCACAATGAGGTGTCCATGTGGCACAGCCTCTCAATTTTGGATACAGATCCAACAGTCTCAAGTTTGGTCAGCAATCTATTGACCACCAATTCTATTGGTCACCCTTTGAACCACAATATTGTCTTCTGACTGCAAGTGCTGTATCAATGAAGCTTTTAAGGTGCTCTAAAACCTGTCTGAAGCGAATTAATTATCTCCAAACTATGCACAGGATTTGACAGAATAATCTCAATGTAAAAATCAATGAAATAAGATCGATGTTCACCAGGCAGCAAACTCCTGCTGCCTTCAATGATATCTGATCGTTGAAACTGCTGAAGTCTAAAATCTGAATTCAGAAAATCATATTTGGAAGCTATTGTCTAATCTCACACACAGTTAATTTTTCAAAGGGTTTTATTACAAATAGCTCCACACTTCTGGGTTTGCAATTTTTCTTTTTAGAATATTAATTAAAGCATGTTCCAGTGCTTACTAAGTGACATGGCAGATTTTGTAGTCAACAATTGTCATTCTCCTTGTGAACTTCCAAGTCTTACATAGCAAATGTGGGTTATCTTTTTATATTATATGCTATGTTTACTACAATGGGAACTCAAATATAATTCAAATGTGAGAAGAGTACTTAGATATTGCAGATTTTGCACATGCTGTTCCCTCTACCTAAAATGCTCTTCTCTATCTCTCTTTACCTAAATAACTCCTACTCATCCTTCAGATTGTCCTGCAAACATGCCTTCTTCAGAAAAGCTTTCTAACACCTTTCTTAACAGGATAAATTCTACTAGTACATGGTCTCATTGCCCCATTTTACTCCCTCTCATAGTAACTATGACTCAAATAAATATAATTTAATTTAATTGATGTCTCTCCTCCCCCACCAGACTGACAAGAACAAAGACTGTGTTTTTCTCATCATTTCATCCCTAGTGGTGACAGAAATGCCCAGCACTTAGCTGGCACCCAGTGAATCTTTGTTTGAATGAATGGATAAGGGAAAGACTGGTTGATACAGCATTAGTGGGTACAGACAACTGCAAAATGCCATCTGCAAAGATTACTTTCTGAATTTCAAGGAGTCAACCTGGCCACTTGCCTATATCCAAAAATGCATGCATTTACACACACATACACACATACACACAATGTTATGAAGATTCCATAGTATGGGAGTCAACATTTTTCTTCTATACTTTCATGACCTGATTTTTACTAATGATTTATAAAAGCTGCAATGATTTACAGATCTTACACTCTCAGAACTTCCCCAAACTATCTAAATCCAATCACCCATGTACAATGGACAGTATCCTGTGTGAAGCTGTCAGATTTTAAAGTTAGTTGATGGAGTGAAAAGTCACAAACCTGTGAAGAGGAATCCTTTGGTAAGTACCATGTTGGAAACGGGCATACATTCCTTCAAGAATCCAACAAAAGCAATGTCCTCAAAACTAAATTAAATATCTTTCTTCAACTGAGGACCTAGAGAAGAGGTTGGCCTCCACTGAATGGCCATGCTACACACAAATATGTGTCTACCTTTACGCACTAGACCCCAACTCAGCATGGAGAGGGCAGCACTGAGACCCCTGGGGGAAGAGCACATTCCTGACCCCCGTCTCACACTCTCTTTGGGATGAAAGCTCATTGACTGGCAGGTAGAATTACACACTATTTAAATCATTACTGTTCCCCTTTTACTCACTGAGCTCATGTAAATTAAATTCACATATGATGCAATGCTACTATCTCCTACCAACCCATCACCCAAATTAAGTCTGAAAACCCTTCCACAGTGGAGCACTCACTGATTTGCTTTCTAAAGAGCTGACTACGAAGAACTGTTATAACTCAAATAATATTTTTCCACTGATTAGCATTATGGATGCAGGTACACCAGCCTTCAAGTGATTTCCTTTACTAAAACGGAGCCCATGCTGTTCCTCTGTTTCCTTTTTCATTGTTCCCGTAAGCCTGCCAGAGCTGCACATGCAAAAATAGAAAGCAAGGCCCCTGGGACCTCAGGAGGAAGCGGCGTTGAGGGGCACTCACCATCACAGCGGGGTTCTTCACGGTGATGCAGGGGGTGGTGGCTCTCAGGGCTCCACTAATGCCGTGGTAGTATTTGAAACAGATTTTTATCTCCGCTGCAAATGGATTGGAGATAAAACAATAATTTAACCACTGAAACAAGTTATCTAGGACAAGTTATCAAGTCAGCTGAGGACATTCACCACACCACCTCTCAGGAAACCTTACTCATGTGTCTTTGAATGATCCCTTCTTTTCTGATTAGAGACAACAGGTGGATTGTACCGTTTCTTGTTTGATTTCATATGCTTCTCTGGAATTTAATAAGAACACCTTCAAACATATTAGAAAATAATGCGCAAACATGCCGAAATGTAAACAGTGGAGAGATAAGATAAGACTAGCTGCCACATAGTGAGTGCTCCATGGTACACCAGACAGCACCGTGTCTCTGGTCCCATGGTTATTTAACCCTCACTTCCACTCTGGGAGACAGAATGCCTGTCCCCACGCTGCAGATGGAGTGTGGAGATGTGCCAAAGGTCAACCAAACAGGAAATGACAGAGTCAGGACTCCAACCTCTCTGTTAGAAATCAAAGCTTCTCTCTCCACCTCCACGGAAATAGAAAAAGCAGTCTAACAAGTATGAAAAAATACTGTTGTAGACTATGCAGTGGTAAGGTTGGGAATCTGCATTATTTTAAATTTCCAAGTGACTTAAATGCAGCCACTAGACAGGGATAAAATTTAGTAACCACTGATACAGACATACCAGTATGTGACCAAATAGATACAGGTACAGATGCAGATGAAGATGCAGGTATACATATAGATGTATGTGGAGAGATATATACACAGGTTATATGTCTATTTATATATATATTATACATGTATAAATTATATATGTATTTTATATATGTAAAATTTGAATTTGATAAAGAGAAATATAAATGCCCTTTAATGAGGAAGTAACTATAATTTCAAAGGCCATGAAGTCAGAATGTGTCAAAGATAAATCACACAGACACTGGAATTTCTCTGAGTCACTGGAGTGTCACTGCAAGATGCCTTTTCCCAAGGTGTCATTCAGTACAGGCAATGACGCTGGTGAGCAGGTCCCAGGCTCCAGGAGTGAACTTCCTCAACTGAGTCACCTGGATTATTAAAGTGGGGCCACTAGATGTATCTTCCCAAGGAAGTTAATCTTCCGCTGACTCTTCCGACTGCACCAGATGACCTCCAACAGAGTATTTAGTTCACTTGTTTTAGGAGAAAAAATACAATGATTAAAGAAAAATGCTCTTTTAGGAATTTATATTATTGCATGTTTCCTATCAATGATGAAATACTAAAAACAGAAGCCTATCATGAGGTAAAGTACTGAGTCTTTCCATTACGGACGTTAGTCACCGTGTGATTCAAAATGTAGCTAGCCCTGCTGAGCAAAAGGTTTTTACCATGTACCCATCACATCACAAACAGGCACTCTGCAAGAGAATTGAAGAAAGGTCTTTGGCCTAGCAGGTGATTTCTAGAGCAGTGTCGCGATGACAGTCACAGGCCTGACAAAGTACAGGAGACAAACACTGAAAGGGAAGATCGCCGGGAAGAAGGCTGGAGACCACGGAGACTAGTGAGGACGGCGCAGTCAGAAAGGCTCACGGCACAAACAGGTTGGGACTCAAACCTACAGATGAGCAAACCTAAGAGGTGAGAAGGCCGGGAGAGAGGAGTGGCAAAGGCAGGGAAGCAGATGCGCACGCTGGCTGAGGGAAACGGCAAGGCGAGCGACACAGCAAGTCTCGCTTTATCACCGCTTCTCTTCCCCGGGAACGGGCCCTAAGTGACTCCTGAACACTAACACAGGCTCTTTACTATTATTGAAATAGTAACAGCTGCATAGGTCTGAGCAAGCCTTACTCTACTCGCTTTCTTCCAAGACCAACAGCATGTATTCGGCAAGAACAAAGTGAAGCAAAGTGCACAAGGCCCATCAAAGCAGGACAAGCTCAGTGACGAGCAAGAGTTTAGAATTCTGTGGGCATGAGCTCATTACTGTCACCCTCTAAATGCTGGCAGCCAGCAGTCTGAATCTGCCTGCAGCGGGACCTCAAAGCTCAAACAATGCTTAGTGAGCAAGCAGCTCATTTTTCAGTAAGGAGAAGGGCATTTTTATAAGACATCTTCCCCAAATTCCCAAGTTAGGATGCCATTGCCTCTAAATAGTCATAAGATAACAGGCTCTAAGACAAAAAAAGGGACTGCTTATTTTTATTTGTAGGCTCTTGGTAGTCAGGCCAACTTTGCTAGGTGACCCATTTTGGGTGTTATTTTATTCCTTGCTATACCAAAAATCGCTAACCCCGGTGATAAATTAGAATCTTGGAAACTATAAAATGAACTTACGCTGAATGGCACAAGACAGATTTTGTGGATGGACACGGTCACTGAAAACACTGCAGAGCTGACAGCTTCGCAAGGCTTTAGGGCTAGGTGCAAAGCACAGGGATTTACACAGATCACCCGTTACAATGCCAAACACACGGGCGGGCTGGTCACCAGAGAGAAAAACACAGAAAAGTTGTTTGCACCTGGGCTGGAACTCGCCAGCTCCTTCGGCAGGACACCAGTAAAAATGTCTGCCCCTGAAGTACAGGAATTTTCCATGCTGAGTGAGGATTCTCATTTTCAAATATTAGTTAGTGTCTTAGGAGGTCACTCAAGATAAAAAAAATTTTTTAAAATATAACTAAACAACATACCTCTAAGCAAGAGAGAGAAGAGAGAAAGTAGCATTTAGATCAATGTTCTTGAACATTTTAGTTATGAGAAGAGGTAACTGGGAAGAAAACTCTAAAGGGTGGAAAAGGGAAGTTGGGGCCCATGCTTTTATTTTAGCTACAATTTTAACCTCTAACTGCACAAGGAAAACAAACAACTATTCCCGAAAGAAACAGATACGAGGAAAGGTGAAAGCAAACGCTGGCATGATACCCGAGCATGAGACCAGGGAGAAGCCCACTGCTCACAGGGCCAGCCCGAGGTGAGAGTATGGACCAAGGAGCAATGAATGCTCCCTTCGACCCAATACTGGCTTCTCCACACGCAGATGGACAGACAAATAGAAAGGAGGAAGGAAAGAGAGGAAGCAGGTCTGAATGAATGAATGGACACAGTCACAAAACACTACAAAAACAGACATTCTGGCAGGCCAAGACAACTTCTGAAACCTCTTACATTTCAAAACTCAAGAACGTACACAGCACAGATGACCAATGCAGTTTCTGCGAGCATCAGCTCATTTGAGGAACATGTGACAGTCCCATGACAAGTGCAGGTGAAATTGATCTTCCCCCCCACTGCCTAGGAAGGTCATCCACCCAAATTACACCAGGCTTTGTCCTTCAAATTCATTCAAGCAGGCCCTGTAATAAAATGTCCGGGCCACCTGCCTCCTTCGGGGGTTTATCCAGACAAACCGAAGCCATCTTTATATTCAGAAATAGCTCAGTGCTCAAATCTAGATTTGCCCATGAATTTAGGTCAATTTTTGGAGAATTTTACTTTGTCTGGACTTCTGATGAGCTAAAGATAAATTTTCTGTCTGAAGGTGAAAGCAAAGGTTTTTAAATGTCATTAAGTTTTCAAGATCAGAGGTTGAAAATACAGACATTGTCTAACATACCCAGCCATCTCCAGAATTAAAAAAAAATTTTTTTAAATCCTCACCCAAGGATATATTTTCATTGATTTTTAGAGAAAGGAAAGATGAGAGAGAAACATCAATTGGCTGTCCCCAGTCCGGGGATCAAACCCGAAATTTAGGTATGTGCCCTGACTGGGAATTGAACCTACAACCTTTGGTGTACAGGACGATGTTAAAACCAACTGACACCCGAGCAGGGCAACCCACTGCCCTCAATTTTTTAAGTTACATGCTATGAGCTCAGAAATTCAAGCAAAACCTCATTATGCTGTAAAATACCCTTAGGTCTTCTCTAGCCAGAGATGGCTTAAAAAAAGATGTCTAAAAGACACGGACTATACTTCAGAGCACTGATAAAATACCACCCAAGGTTTTTACATCAAATGGATATTGAAAAGATAGGGATGTGTGTTGGGGAGGCCTCATTCTGATTAATGAAGATAAACTGATTATAAAGCCAAATCTTTCTGTAATTCCTATCCACTGTCCAGGACATTAGCTTATGCAACTTTTCTCCGTCCTTAAGAAATACATCACTGAATATCTCCAGTTTTACAATCATACAACACAATACCCCCAACTTTGTGTACGCAGAATTGAGATAGAAATGCTGAATTAGCAGAGCAAAGAAAACGAAACTACTCTTTTCATTTCTAATTCCTACCTTCAACATCAAGCCTACTTCTATTAAATACTAAAGTGAGAGATAAAGGAAAACCTTTGTTGAGACAGAAAAAAAAAGAAAAAAAGAGAGAGAGATTTACTATACCCTAAATTAGCCAGGACATTACGAACCTCTAACACTTTTGAAGGAGAAAGAAAATCAATCATGGAAAATGAGATGCTCTGTAAATGGGCTTTCTGGGGTTTTTTCCACACATACTGTTCCAAAATGCAGCAGCATGTGATACTGACTTCTTCCCAGGTATCCACATGAGCCCCATAATATGGGTCTGCACACTCCACCCAGAGGCAATCATTCCTGGCAGTCTTCAGCACTTTGAGCAAAGAAGAAGGTTGTTTCACCTTTTCCCCAGGCATTCAGTGGGAATATTTCTCAGCTACATCAGCCTCTTAAACCCTGGGATCCTTTCAAAGGAGGAACCACATTGAAAGTAAGCTTGGCTATTTCCCATTCCATTTCCCCCCATCTACCTTTATCACTTATGTTTCTGATTACTTAGGTAGTAATGCCAGCTGGGCCAATGTTGGAAAGTAAAATAGAAATAGGCAAGGAAAACAAATCATCCATAATCTCACCTCCCAGAAACAACTCTTGTTCACATTTAGGCAAATACCCTTCTAGACTTTTCCCCACACGCTATGCTATTAGTTGGGATTATGCTATATGTATCTGCCCCACCCCCCATTTATATCATGAGCATTTTCCCTTAAAATTAGATTCTATTTAAGGTTTCAAGAGAGAATCCAGCCAGAAATTGAACTGAAAAGAAGATGTTCCTTAGGGGGCAGAAACAGGATTAGAGAAAGCTCTAGAATGCTGATCTAATAGTAAAAATATGGAAGAAATAATCAGATGCCTTTAATGGCAATTCAAAGTAATAGCTGTTAATCTTTCAAAATAACTTTTTTTACTACAGAAGTTTTATATGCTCTAATAATAATATGCTTACATCAGGCTGCTGTTTATCAAACCTTACTTGATATTTTAAGGTACAATAAGTACCTTCCTTGTACTAGCATCCACACTCTCTCTTACACTAAATCCCCTGCATGTGCAAAACTTAATTCTTATACGGAGATAAATAACTCAGAAAATTTTTAAAGAGCCCATTTTTTCTACATTAAAGAAAAATTCTGTAAATGTAGAAGTTAACCTGGACCAACCAGTAAATCATTTATTTACAGTAGCTTCTAGCTACTCCACAAAAATGTATTTACTATGTTCTCAATAATATTAGTGGCAACTATAAATATGCCCTTTCATCCAAAATAAAAAGGGGTGAGATATTTCTGTGAACCGTGTACTATATAAAAGAATTTGTATTTACAAATGAATATGACATCAGATAACTGGGTAATGGTTGAATTATCTGTAGCCAATTTCCAAGTCCTAGTACACTGACCTCTCTAGCAGACCCAGACTATGTTACCTACACTTGTAAAAACCGGGACCCAAATACAAAAGTTATTCTGCTATTGGGAAAAATAATAGTGAAGTTAGCAAATAAAATTTTTAAATTAAGTTAAATTCTTAACTTTAACTTAAATCTTGAATTATTTTTTCTGCTCTCCAAAATTAATATTAATAATTAAATATGAACTACAAATGTAGACACAAGGGTATATAAAAATGTGTGAAGTGTTAAAATAGCCACATGTAATTTATATATCGTATGTTCATACAATACACACACACACACACATATTTTTCAAAATATGTGAATATTCTCTAATGAGCATTTTCTAAAACAATATATTTCCCAGTTTGGGGTTATATGGTACAACTATGTAAATCAGAGCCGAAAATTTTTAAAATAACACTCAGAAAAGACCCCATAGATTTCTGCATTTTATGCAATGTCCAATAACAAACTGGTATTTCATACTTAGTTACTTACGTTCCATGAAATAGGGCCCAGGCTCAATTCTCCATACAATCTGCCCTTTCTGTGTTCCAGTCACACCCCTGTTTTTAGAATCCCAGAAGTTGGCTGGAGAATTCTCATCTGAAAAAAACAAAGAAACACTTTTCAGCTTAATTATAACCTCTTTGTCCTTCCTTAGCTCAAAGGCTAATACAAGTTCTAAGATAAATAGAAAAAAAGATAAAGGGGAAATATTAGTGAGCATTATTATTAATGAACACCTCCCAGCAGATTATTATATGGGAGACTTGGGGAGGGATGCAGGGTGGGAAGACGGTGGCATCTCTGGGATTGGCCAGGTTGGTCAGTGTTGTCAAAAGACAAAATTACGAAGAACAAAGGGCACAGCTGCTGTAGCCTCAGTGATGGGCTGAAAGGGGTTGAGCTCCCCATCTACAAAATCCTTTATGAAAAAGAAAGAAAGAGCAGAGCTGGGAGACTATAACAGAACTCAAGATGGGGAACAAAAGGTTCATTAAGCTATAAAACTGAGTCAAGACACAGTCCAGGTTTGCCACAAACAGAGTCCAGGTCATCACATCTGCTAGAAAAATCATTTACGAAAAGCCAAAGGCAGGAGACCTCAAGTCAATATAAAAAAAGGAAAGAGACAGCGTTTAGACTTTGGTAGGAAAGGAGGGTAGAAAGGACAGATCCAAAGAACAGGCCTGAAAGTAGCATTTTCCAAGCTGTCTGACCTCATGACCCACAGAAAATGGTAATATCTATAGGCACACTGGGGTAAATGGTAGAGACACAACTTCAGACAACAAGCAGGGACATTCTGGTTGCCCAGGCTCTGCCCCCCACCCTGAAGGCTGAAGGGACTCATATTCTATATAACTGGCTCACATCTCGCTAATTAGAAGCCCTGTCCTAGAGCCCTAGAATAGGAAATGAAACTGGTAACATGAAAAGGAGACCACTCAGAGTTTTACAGGTGCACAAAAAAGTGTACCGTGACACTGACTCTAAGAGTCAAATGTACCTCATTTGTTTCCCCAAATCCCCTTGCCAGGAGGAAAGATTGGGAACGTACTTTAACTGAGAGCGGGAATGCACCAGGCAGGGCGAACCAAGAGCTGTACTATGAAAGAGGAAAGGTCCCGAGCCCCAGGGAATAGTCCTGAGAGGAGAAACCTCTCTTCTTTTTTTTTAATTCTCACCCAAATATATGTTTTTATTTTTAGAGAGAAAGGAAGGGGGAGAGAGAGAGAAACATGGATGTGAGAAAGAAGCATCAATCGGTTGCATCCCGTTTGCACCCCGACTGGGGATCGAACCAGCAACCTTCTGGTATACGGGACGACACTCCTGCTGACTGAGCCACAGGCCAAGGCAAAACCTTTCTTCTTTTGAGCATGAAAGAAACAAAAGGTGAGGGGTCAGATAATCCAGCTTTGAGGGACTTTCTGTCTGCTGTCATCCTTCGGGCTCCCTGTGTCATCATATTGATAAGCCAGAGAATTCTGGGAGGAATGGTCCAGTCCTTTCATGAGATTTGCATTCAGTACATTATAAGTCAAAGATTCTTTTAGTGAAAGTCCAAGAAGCAGCCACTGTTTTTTATAGAAGTGGAAAGGCATAACCCACTCATGGCATCACCTCCACGCCTGAACAAACAATACAAGGACACGACTCCATCCTTCATAGAAATAAAAGCACAATGCTAATATTTAGAAAGCACTCAGGCAATCACCTAAAACTGCACTTGAGAGATGTCCTGTGGCTCCTCAGAGCAGATCCTGCTTACTGCTCCTCCAATGAGCTTCTTCCTTGCCAGCTGAACCCCAGTTTTGTCCAAGGCAGCAATGTGCCCAGTTAAAAATACTTATCTCTTCAAATTCCTTGTAGCTAAGGGTGGCATGTGGCCTAATTCTGGCCAGTGAGATGTAAGTGGAAGTCTACTGCGTGGGGCTTCTGGGAAAGCTATTATTATTCTCATTAATAAAAAGACAGACTCAGTCATCATTTTGCTCTTCCCCCTCCCCTTTTCTTGGATGAGAACCACGTGCTAAGGATGGCAGAGCAAGAAGCTAGAAGCAACCATGATGGTTTTTTGAGCCTTGAATGACCTTCAGGCTTCTTGCTGCCTAGGCAAAAATAAAATGCTATATGGTTAAGTCCCTGTGGTTGGGTTTCTGCTACCTGCAGTTGAATACAATTCCTAACAGATATACCATCATCCTAAAAATCGCTGTGATTTGGTCTTACCATGCCTGTATTGTTGTTTCTACCCTCATTTAACATCTACATTAGGTAATTCAGTCTTTTGAAAATGCCCCTACTACAAATAAAAAAATTAACTGAGTATAAAATGGTATACCAAAGAAAGGGTTTTAAATCCCCTACAAGGGTAATATAGATGTCATTATAAATCTGTTACTTCCTTTGACTAAACAAAGGTTCTGACAGAGCAAAGAAATATCATCAGTCTTTAAAACCAATTACCAATTGTTCCATTTATATTTGCTCATTTCTTTTCCCCATTTCTCTTAACTATGCAAATCTGTTGCACTGTCTCACATCCCCTACCTAATTTCCAACCTCTTACTTGGAGCAGGGTACCATCCAAAGGTGGAAGACATGAGGCCTCATCTCCCTACTACCTACCATCTTTTCTACATCCATTCTGCCTTCTTGCCTTCTTGCCCAGGCTCTAACCCATTATGGTAGTGCCCTTGACCCAATCCCCTCCATCAGTCACCTTCCCTCACTTTGATCTTTAGCTTCTTCCCCTCAACCTAGAAACACATCAACTCCCCTAAGGCATATTTTCCTGGTTTTACATTTGCTTTTGCTCTTTGACCACAACCTTCCTTTATTTCCCTTCCTACTAGGATTAAAGTGCCCATTTTCCAGTTATAATAGAGTCTATATTATATAGGAGTGTATATTCAAGACACTTAGGTAACTTTCTGGCTGAAATATAATTACAAAAGAAACACTGGAGATGTTTAATTCATGTACTGTAAAACCTTCTCTAAATCTAATTTTGTTTGGGAAGGTTTATATAAAGCTTGTCCACTTATGTCTCATATACGTTCTTTTTTCTCTTACAAGTCAAGCTGGCGGTACATTTTCTCTAAATAGGAAAAACAAAGCACACCAAAAAAGCCCTAAAATCCTTCTAATATAATTTTCATATCTATCTGTTTGAGATTAATGGGGAAACATGATCAAGAAAACATTAGAAAAATCTTGCCTTATTATAGTCATCTATATTTTCCCAAATCATTTCATTTGGTATTTTTAAAAATTACTCTTTAGAGTTATTCTAATTAATTGTTATTAATACTGAAATTACTTCTGTTAAGTCTGCTTCTCCGGGGGAGAAACAAAGTGTTTGGACTCAGTAAATAAAGGAGAAGAGGTATAAGATTATACCACACACAACTAACTCTCTTCTATTAACTATAGAGAATAGTGACTCAGATAATTTTCTCAAATCTGGTTAGTTACATGAGCAACAAGTCCCTTTTCCTTAATAAAAACGACATGATTTCCAGGAGGAACACCTTGGGGGTCTTAAACAAATTTTTACATTAGCAGATTTAACATTTCCTGCATATTCAGTAGGTAACAAAGCACCATTGGCTACCTTCCCCTTTAACTAACTGATCCTCCAGGGCAATAACTGCCCAATTCCATCGCTCACAATGAATATCCTGAGGGCTTCTTCAAAATGCTGATTCCTGTTCCGCTCTTCCCAACATTTTGATTCAGTAGCTATGAGTCAGGATGCAGGAATCTGAATTTTAGCAAGCACCCCAACCAGGTGATTCTGATACAGGTACCACAAACACGGAAAAATTCTGTTCATGGCTATTTCCAGGGAAACTGAGCAATCACAGCCATGCTCTGGACCATGTGCATCTCTGTCTATGGTCCCTTTCATTGGTCCTTCCTTCCTTCCTTCCTTCCTTCCTTCCTTCCTTCCTTCCTT